ATATAAAGCGACTACTAGAATCATCCTAATGATATTGTTTAAAGGAGAGCAATTAGCAAGTTTGTTTGTTTGTTTTTATAAGGGGTAGGGGATTTGAACTCAATTAGCTCATTAATTCATTAACCTAAATAAGTCAGGGTTTCAACTTAGTTCCTAAAAGTACTGGGATTTGAGGGTACCATAGCCTTCTTATATATCATGAAGCCATTTTATTGGTATGTACCTTACTAGTTGAGTTGCATAAATTTAAATTGATGAACGATAAACCATGTCTTTTATAACGTGGAGTTGGTGTCAAAATGTTGAGGGGGTGTTTGGTTGAGGGAAAACTTATTTTTCTCTCTGAACTTTTCTAGACCTTCTCTTTTGTAAGATTATTTATGTATTTTTATACATTAATATTATAATAAAAGGAGGGTAAAAGTACAATTTTGGTTTTTATTTTTCCTGATACAGTTTTCAATCTGTAAACTTTTCTTTTTGAAAGGAAAATTTTTTTTTTTTGTAACTTTGCTATATAGGACCTACTTCATATCTTTCCTGTTGCCTTTCCTTATACTAATTTTTTATTAAATATAAAAAAGTTAACAATTCAATAAAATTCTATTAAAATTTCATACCAAACTTAAAATTTTAAATTTTGATTTATCTTATCTTCCATTTCTTTTCTTTTTATTTGCAAAGTTTCAAATCTTTTTTATCTCTCAAATTTCTCTTTGAACCTTTGTCAAATCTCTTAAATTTTTTTGTATTTTCTAATTTTTCTTTTATATAGGTAAATTCTTCTTAAAAGTTTCTTTCAATCTCTCTCATTTCTTTAAGAGTATTCTTATTGATGGTTTCCATTTCTAATGTTTTATCTAACTCTTCCATTTATTAAGTTAAAAGGAGTGAGTTTATGACAATTTTTAGTTTAATTATTCTTTTATTTTTTTAATCTTATTTGTAAATTCATATTTCTTACTTTAATTCTATTTTATATTAACAGCCTCTTGTTGTAATCTTGATAAAATTGTTTCTTCTATCTCTAGAGATAAAGTATTCATTCAATAGTCATATTATTCTTTTAGGATTAAAGTATTTTATTTTCCGAACTTATGGACTTATTATTTTAACAGGGATTTTTTTTGTATTAACTCTTTGATATCCATAAATTATATTAGATTCTAACTAATATGAAATTAAGTTACGTCGCATTTTATAAGAGAAAATCACTTTTAATGTTTATTTTTCTATTTACAAAATTCAAACTCAAAATTTTATTAAATTTAAGATTTTATTTAAAGAGAATCGAATTTTTTTTATTAGATTAACAAGTCATTTGTGATTAATGGGGGTTTTGCATGGTAGAATATTTTAATATATTTTACAAAATTTATAAATCATTTATAAAGAAAATTTACTTTTTAGATTAAAATAAAATTATAAAAATATAAAAATCAAGAAGTCTTAGCATTCAGAATGTCTATTACAATCATTTATTGAGTAGACCTTACCCTAAAATCCACTCAACTGATGGTTGTTATGGATGTCCTGGTACAAAGATGTCTTAACTTTTCAAGCTCTCGTAAAATTATATTAATAATTAATATATTATTTTATGAATTAAGCCCAGTCCTTCTGTCCTTCTGTCCTTCTGTCCATCTTCTTTCTTTTTCTCTCTTTTTTGCTCGTGTTTCTTTTTCATTCTCTTTTTTTCTTGAACGCAGAGAGCATCCTAAAAAAACCTAATTTGAGATGACTTTTGAACATCATTAAAATTATACTAGAGCGACTAGTACTGCCCTTTCTTTCTATGTACACAATAACATCTAGGATTAGTCTTTCTTCCCAAAATGCTTCCCCTTCTACTTCAATTCAATTTGTGTGGATCATCAATAATCTTTTGCTTCGGAATTTTGCATTTCATTACCTAGCAAGTATTACATGTTTTCAAAATTACGCATCTTGAGTTCAATTAAAATGACACTGCATAAGGTCAACATACCCACTTCAAGGAAAACAAAAGAAGAAGAGGGAACAACTGGTGTACGTAATTTCTGCATATATAATTTTTAATTGGAATATTGTTCTTGGGATGAAAGACCCAATTAAAAGGAACATCTATGAATTTGATAAGGGTGTCATGCTTCAAGCGCTTGCATCCTATCCTCCTAGATATTTATGTGATAATGATTAGTATACATTTTAATTCAACACATTTTATAATATATTTATTAAAAATTTAAAAATAAATAAATTTAAAAATATAATTATACACACAAAATACAAGAATCAATTAAATTAATTATATTTATATTATATTTTTAATAATTGAATTGAAAATATGTCAAAACATTTGAATGGAGATTCAAAAGTGTACAAATCATTTTCTTATTCACAAATAGATTGTTTACAAACAAAAAGACACATTAAATTCTTCCTTTTCATTGTAATCAATATGGACATGACTGATATTAGTGTTATGCAAACAGTTTTACTTCCATAGAGAAATTTCATTAATCTTCCTTTTCCCCCAATGCTGAAGTGAAACAAAGAATGAGTAAATATGGATTTCTGAGACACAATCACAATGGTATGGATGAATAGTAGTCCCCTATATATATTTGGGGGAAAAAAGGAAGGGGATGGGGATATTACGAAAGAATATCGAAACAATACCTTGGATTGGAAGTAAGGCATTCTAAGCTTTTCCTATGGTGTAAAAATTCATGAAAAGCTCTTTCTTATTCCACTTCCGATGGATGTACTTCCTCACCAAACCACTCAAAAACAAAGGATTGATCAAATTTTCTGCAGTGCCAAACCTTAGCTAATGGGGCAGTCGGTATGTTACAGTGAGGTCTTTGAAGATCAGGAAAAACATGTACGGCTAAAGGCAAAGCTACCTGTCCAGTGACTTCAGTCAATTTATATTCCAGCCTGCAACTGACGGAATTGGATAGAGGAGGAAAAAGCAATCCTGCTTCCCTCTCACTGCCTTGGTTGTCGTGTTTTCTGGGATTTTAGATCAACAACAATGATTGAAATGTTATCTGAACTGTTCCGTCCATATGCCATATCAGTGAGATTTTTGGCTACAGCTTGTGCTGGAGAAACCCCATCAGTTGTCTTTAACCTGCGTCGCCTTCTTAGAAGGTGGCGAGCCACCTCCCCAGCCTCTTCGTTTGACATGACATCCCACAACCCATCACTAGCCAAAATCAGACACTCATCCTCATCAGTCCTGGTCATGAAAGTAGTTTCAGGCACTGGAATTATCCATGGCCTTAGATAACGATCACCTGAAACATTCACAACCAGTGATTACTATTTAGTGTTATATCATACCAACCATTTTCGTATCAATCTTGACTTTCCAATTCAATTATTTGTTCAAACTTCACATTATTATGCAGTAGCATTACAAACTAAGGGATTGAGAAAAATTAGAACATTGTGATAATTAATATATCAGAAATGATGATGAAAAGATTCAAATACCCGTAATGAATGAACACGAAAAAGGCCCAAAAGAAAAACCAACATGCAAAGAAGATTCATTAAGGGTATTTAAACAATTTCACAGATAGTCCTCACATTTAAAATGCTAGGATGTTCTAATTTTCACTCTTATAAACTAACACCATGCCATGAAACAGATCCAGCTCTAGAAACAGATAACTCAGAGAACAGACTATAGTACCACAATTCACTGAAGGAATGCATGCTTGGCTAAACACACATTGGTTTATATGGTTTTGAAATTTTCATAATCATTTTTAATTAATAAAAATATAGATAGAAAAGTACCAAAGGTGCAACACATGCATTTATTCACCTTTAAAGGTTTTAAACAAGATATCAAATGTCCAGCAAAATAACAGGTTTCTTTTGTTTTCATGTTGATCTGTTTAAACTGTGTATTTCCTTCTATTTGACCGCACAAATTGTCTTTCTAAATAATGCAGCTAGCAAGTAGTTTAAAATTATTATAATCACACAAAGAACACTTCAAAACATTTTATATTCCATCGTCATGTTTTTTGATTATCGATTCCAAAGTATTTCTCGGGATCTAGAACATGGAATAACACTAAGCACTTAACTTTCAAGCGTGAATAATTATTTCTCCAAGCACATCACAAAGAAATAAAAAATCTTTGCTGATACCTTTTCATTTCATGATTAAGTATAGGTAGCTCAAGATGATATGACAGATACCATAGGCAAGATAATGTTGGCAAATGGTAACAGAATACATTACTAGATACCTTGAAACTATTATTATACTAGGGAGCAGCTTAGAGAGGATACTGAACGGGAAATTTGAAATGATGCAGAGAAATAGAGATAAAAGCAAAAACCTATAGCTCTGGACATGGCAAGAACTCCCAACACCCTAGCACCATTCCAGTTTATGACTTTCCCTCCCTCACTTTCAATTCTCAGGAGTTCGTCCTGTCTATCAGGCTGTCAAAATCAACAATAACAACCAAAGGAAAATGTTCTTAATCTTTTCATGAAATAAAATTTATAAAAAGTAGTACAGAATCTATTGCTATGGCTGTCCATGCTTTCATGTCCCTTCATCATTTTACACCTCTCTGTATGTAGTGTTTTTTTTTTTTCTGTGATCTTCCCTCTATGTTTATATTTTTCACAAATATCTTCCTGGTAATTCACATGAGGCTGCCACTGCTTGTACGGTTGTAGCAACTTATACCCTTCTATCATTTTACACCCCTCTATAATGTTAACAAATATCTTCATGCTGATTTCATGTCAGAAGAATTCTCAGAAATCCAGATTATTATATTAGAAAAAGGTTACCTCGAAAGGGTAAATAGTAATGAGAATAAAAATGCACAATTTGAGAAAGGACCAAGAGAGATTACGATGTGACCTTCTGATCAACAGTTAACGGGATGGTTTCATTTCCTCGGCAAAGCACTGCTCTTGAGTCACCACAGTTTGATGTTATAATCTGGCAGCCAGATAGAACAACAACAACGGCAGTTGATCCTATCATGTCCGAAGCGACTTCCTCCCTCTGGACATCATTGTCAACCCTCTCAAATCCATTAGAAAATGCTACTTCCCATCGTCTCCGCCATGCAGCAGCCTCTACTGTTTCGCGGTCCCACTCTTCTGCTACAACTCCATGCATCCTCTCCGCACAAAATTGTGCTACCTATCAATAATTTCCCCAATTAAACAAATGGTCATTAAGTTCTCAAGAATAACGGGGAAAGTAACTTTTCCATATAACACAGCAGTGATAAGAAAAACAAGATTTTAGGATGAGAAAGGAAGTCTACAAATCAATTGATGTTCTAGCTACTGAAAGTCTGAAACCTAGTTCAACCGTAAAAGAATACATTATCCCTTTGTTTTTGGCCAAATAGATAAATATCTTTTGATTCTTTTGTGTGTGAGTAAATTATTCCAGAAACCAAAAAGTCCATTTTCTTGCTAGCAAAATGCATCAGATCAGAAACTAGGATCAAATTGAACCGGTTAATACCTTTCAAACACAAGTATTAATTATAATGACTTTGCTTCAACATGATATGAAGATATGACCACATAATTTATATGGTTTAGGGTTCTTAAAAATGTTTTTAAGACAACAAATTATTTCTCATTTTCCTGGGATTGATAACATTTCCCAAATTCAAATAGCAGCTTTATTGATTGAAAATAACAATACCATGACAGAGATAAATTTCATCAAGTATCCCATTTTTTGACTATTCGATTTGTTTCCAAATATAAGTGGTTTGATTTTTTTTTTTAACATATTTTTAGGTAATATTTTTTTATAGTATATAAATGATAATTGAATTTTTTTTTAATCAAATGAAACTAATTAACAAGAACTACATATAGAAAAAATGAAAATCTCAATTATTATTAATATATTATAAAAAAAAGTTTTGTTTAAAAATATGTGTAAAGAATCTAACAAATTATATTTTAAAACAAAGAGAGTAGTCAATGGACTAATTATCATCTTTTCAATGCGTCTGAGAATCACTGATAAATTAGATGCTAATGATTCATCAAGAAATAATAAGAATAAAGAAATAAACCAAAAAAAATGACAACTTATAGCACCCTCCACCATATGGACACAAAGACAAATACTGATACCCAAATCATAGCACATATTCTCTTCTAAATAGTCATTTTCCTTTTGAGAGGCATATATCCAACCACATTCCTGAAGGGTTTTAGATGATTCAAGATCACCATAGCTTTTCTTCGCTTCTAGAAGAAAACTAGTTTTTTCTACATCAATGATGAAGTATTGAATATTTGATGCTGTGACCACTATTGGACAACATGTCAACACTGCTACCTCCCAGCTCCCACTTAGGCACATAAACAAATAAACAAAGATACGTAACTTATAATTGGTTTTCTGGTTAATTGAAAATCATCATGATAGAAGAGAAACGATTGTTAAACAAACAATCAAAAGAATCACAGCAAAGCAAAGCAAAGGAACTAATTGGTTCTGTAGTTGATTCACAAAATGTTTTGTCAACAGTGATACGTTGCAAGTCATCTTGCATCAAATAATTGAACGTTTATCAACTCATACTTAACGCGTCCACAATGTTAAATAATTCAATCATAATAATTATTATTAAGAATAGTAAGATTTCACTAATATAAGCAAATATTGCTTTTAAATCATTTTCCAATTGGATTCTACTTTAGACAATACACCCTAACTACCAAATAGTAAATATACTAAACATACTAATAATTAGTCCCATGTAACAAAAACACAGCTTATCAAAAGAAAAAGAAGAAAAAAAAAAAACAAGGAAAACGATATGAAGAATAGCATTATTATCACAAAAAAAAAAAAAAAGGAGGAATGAGAAACAGCTATACAGGCAAAGTAACAAACGGGTTGACTAACAAATGGCCCTGTATACCGGGAATTCCCAGGTAAGAAGTCTCACACGTGGCATGCAAGGAAACCATTTGGTGACAGCTTTCAACAAAGAAGGAACCAATTGATTCCTCGTGGTTCACACCATCAATTAATTTATAGACTATAACCTACACACACCAACTGACCAAAACCTCTAGGACCAACAAATTATTATACGCTACACTTACATCAAAAACAGATACCAAATATAGATTATTTTTTCGAGAAAACAATGCCAATTGTAGATCAGGGGAAAAGAATGAGATCCCCTTCCGGGAATCTGTGAAACATGTCATCACAAAAAAGTATCATCTTTCTCAAATGGGTCCCCACCGTGACGATTTGTCAGTGATGACAATTACCTGCCATACTAACACCCACTACCCAGAAACCGAAGAAAACCACACGTTTCTAATAAATAATGAAACGCTTATGGTACAAAAAAGAAAGAAAGGGCATACCACCTACCGGTTCAAGTGGTTCAACCACTTGAACTTGTGGTATGCACCTGCCTCTATTAGAAGTTCGATTCTTAGAGGCGATATCCCATCCCCTTTCCTCCTTAGCAATAGGATTAGGGTATCATCATTTATGTGATTTAATGATAAAATTATTTATATTTTAATTATAAATTTCAAGTTTAATCTTAATTTTCATATACCAGAAAAAAAAGATTAAGATTAAAGGTATATGTATTGTAATTTTTCAATATTAATTTATATAAAGAATTAAAAAGTAAACTTTGTTTTAGTACCAATGTATTAAATAATTGATAAATTCAAATTTATTTTTATTTTTTATATAAATTAATGCTAAAAAGTACAATGAATAAACCCTTAATTTTTTTTTTTTTACATTTATGGACTAAATGCTCCCTTAATCTCCACACATAAATTAGAAAATTTCATAAGATTATAATTACCTTGCATGAGAAAAACAAAAAACAAAAAAAAAAACAAAAAAAGAAAGAAAGAAAGAAAGAAACTGCACGCCTTTGTATGACACGCGTCTATAGGTTCCTCGTTTGTGGACCTATAAGAACTAGCAACTTGGCAAGCCGGTGAGAAAATATTATTTATTCTGTAACATCAAATAATAAACTTTAATTGCGTACTTATTTTAATATTAAAAAAAATTAAATTTCATAACCCTCGTGAAAACACACAAGTTCTGCCTCAAAACAGAAGGCGCCACTTTCCGTCTTGCCAAACAGGAAATTGCTCTACGGAAATTCAAAATTAACCAACAATTGAATTCATTATAAGACAGAAAAGAAAATTTTCTTGCAATAGAAACGAGAATTGGAAATTTTAATTAGAGAGTAAAGATAGCGAAATTTTGGAGGGGATTACCTGCGCGCCGCCATGGCCGTCATATACGCCGAAGAAATGAACAGGAGAGATCTCTCCGGAGGTTCTAGAACCGGGAGCGGTACATCCGCCGACGTGATCGCACGTGCGCGACATGAATCCAGGTACAATGGCGACGGCATCCTCCATCTCCCTCCGCCTCCCGATGACGGAAGTGAATCCCCACGTGACACCTTTATTACTCCTTCCGACGCACTTCTGCCGCCTCGAAGGTTCCGGCGGCGGCGGCGGCGGCGGCGGCAACACGGTGTCGGCCAGTGGAATTTCGCCGGAGCTGCCGCTTGCGCCGGATATATCGCCAGAACTGAATACGGAAGATAAGCCTGAACTAGTGGAGGCTAGGTCGAAGTCAGGAAGTGAGTCGACTGACTCCGCTCGTTCGAGCCGTTCTTCTTCCTCTTCCACCGGAGGTTCCATGTAATGTTAAGTGACAGAGAAAGCGAGAAGAGAATGGGAAAAGTGAGAGCGAATTGGGATAAAAGGCAGGGGGCCAGACTTATAACAGCGCGACACGTGTGAGGGAAAAATTGAGTCGATGTCACACGCATTCAAGATGGGAATACCGAAATAACTACGAATGAGGAAAATAAGAACGCAAGGCATTGATTAATGGGTGTGGCAATAACCAAGAAAGTGCTACGGTCACTAATTTGCCTCTTTGTTTTTTTTAAAGAATTTTTT